ACAGCTTCCAGCTAAGTCTAGATCAACATAGAAATAAATCATACATTAATTTTTTTATTTTTTTAAATTTTACAGTGCATTTCAACATTCCTTCAAAGGAGAATATCACTGCTCACCTTCAAACAGCGCAGGTGCTGGCCACGCTTCGTGCTCCATTGAGAAGTCTGTCTCCAAGAGCACAGGATATGCTGAAAGAAGAATAAAGCAATTAGTTTGTGAAAGAAGATCTGGGAGGATTTCAGGCAGTTCCAAACACAGTATGTATGCTTTGATTTCTTACCTTCCTCACAGCTTCCAGCTAAGTCTAGATCAATAACATAGAAATATCATACATTAATTTTCTTTTTAAATTTTACAGTGCATTTCATCATTCCTTCAAAAGAGAATATCACCTGCTTACCTTCAAATAGCGCAGGTGCTGGCCACCCTTCCTGCTCCATTTGACATGCCACCTGAGAGTCTGAAAATTCAACAAAAGTTTAGTTGGGAAAGTGTAACCGTGGAAATGTGTGGTGTGTGCTATAAGCATTTTCCATTTGAACCCACCTTGGTAGGTGCTGCTGCTGGCTGAGCTGCATTGTTGATCTGGATAACAAAATTAAACAATAAGTATGCATATTTGTTAACCTTTGTTTTTTTCTTCAGAATTTCAGCTCACCAGGAGATGCTGTCTCTGGTGGAAAGCCACAGTTGTAGGGGCAGCCACATCCGCAACCTGTCAAGAAGTGGAAATGTTATTTTTTGAGGTAATTGATACATGGGGGCCAGATATGGGAAGACCCATCTTAATTTTCACTAGTCAAAACCATGTAATATTTTATTCCTTTCATGAAGTTGGATCATAAGCAGAGATTGGCAGAAGTAACTAAAGCATTCTGCTCTTTTAAAAGATGTTTTGTCTTACTCTTGCCTTGCCCCTCATTTTCTTAAGGGAAGACTATACTGAAATAAACATCTCAATGATTATATGAGACCTCTTTAGGAATGTTATTTTTATCTTCAGTTTGATGAAAAACTGTTAAAAAACGTTGTATGGGGTCTGTAAGCTGAACCGATTAAAGGTTACAGTGCTTGTTGATTCTCTGCAAGGTTCTACTATAACTGTTTCTTGCGTTCCAAAATTGAACGTAGAAGGCTGAGGTAAATATTTTTGAAATCAGAAAAGATCAAGGAACAACGTCTCTGAGCCAGATTTGCACTATTACATCCGATTCTCAGTTTTATAATCTGGACCATTTTAACAATTTTAAAAGTTCAAAAATTAACAAAAAATATAGCTTTTAAATCCAAAAATTCAGATAGATAATAAAAGACCTTGTAGAAAACCTTTCAAAACATAAAACCTGAGATGATCAACTCCGGAACATAAAATTTGGAACGCATGGAAGTTTTGGGGCATTAAAAAAAAATAGAACCAATACTAGTATTTAAAGTTCATGAAAGCATACTTAAAAATATGTTATTTGGTCCTATTGAGGGTCACTAATTGTCCATAGGACCAAGTTACAAATAACAGAATAAAATTTAAAATTGACTGTATAGATGGAACACTTCCCACACAAAGTTCCAGAAAAGGTGGTTTTTGTACAAAATCACCATATTTTCAGTATAGTCTCCCCTTTAGCAACCTATTCCAAGTTGTATCTTACCTACATGGGACTCCTCCAAAAGTTGTCTTGTTGTGAGTGATGGATCTGGAAACACAGGAAAAGGAATCTAAAAGTAAATATAATTTCATGGTAGCATATCTCAGTCTATTATTTACTCACAGAGCTTCTTCAGTCTGTCAAAATACCAGACTTTTGAAAAATCTCCACTGTCACTGTCACTATCAATTTCTATTTTAATTATTTCAGGGTCGTTGCCATTATCATTCTCTATTTCAATTATTTCAAGGTCATTGTCATTATCAGAGATTTTATCATCATAATTTATCTCATGTTCAGGCTCGTCATCATCTTCTATTTTAATTATTTCAGGGTCATTGCCATGATTATTCTTCATTTCAATCATTTCAAGGTCATTGTCATTATCAGAGTTTTCATCATAATTTATCTCATATTCAGGTTCGTCATCATTCGGGCTTTCATAAGTAATGTCATCTTGAGGGTTCACATCAGTAGGGTTTTCATCTTTAGTGTTGTCATTATCAGGTTTATCATCACCATCATCTTCATCTTCATCATCATTATCATCATTCATTGTTAAATTATTTTGTGTTGAAGCAGGAGGAGCAGGATCATCACACTCAGAAGCTGCTCCAAATAAAGTCAACGTGTTATTTAAGAGAAAGGACTATCGTATTAAGGGAAGGCTACACTGAAATGACCATCCCCATAATAAACAGAAAATTTTGGGGAATGTGATTTTTTTACTCAGTATGTCATGAAACTGCTACAAAACTTTGTATGGGGTCTGTAAGTTAAACCATTCAACTCCTAATATTTTATATCCTCTTTTGCAGAGAGTTTTTAAAACTGATTTCTGCGCAATCAATTTGGCCGCAGAAATTTGGGGTAATGTTCTCTGGAATCAGAACGGCCCAAGGAACAATATTGCTTAATCAGGTATTTAAAATTATACTTGGTTTGTAATTTGATATTTTAGATCAATCTTAAATTTTTCAATGTTCAAAACTAGTTAACAATATGGTTTTGGTCTACAGAAAACATAAAGGGAAGTAAAAGTCTTATTAGTTGCAAAGGATAGAGCAGTTACTGGATAATATGCTATTACAGACACTTGGAGCAAAAGTCTCTATACTTTTCAGTGTAGCATCCCCTTAAAATAAAAGTGGAGTTATTATACCTTCTGATTCGAGGACCAGCACCCTCTTCCTCCTCCTCCTAACTGGTACAGATGGTGAAATGTCATCCCTATTCACAGTTAAACAGTAATAAGATTAGAGCAGGCTGAAATTTGAACTCTCATCTGTGTGAGAGTAGCATTTACCTTTCAGTGGGAGCAACATCGACCATCCCATAAATCCGGAGGGTGGCCAGGGTTTCGGTCAGGGTGCTTTGGGCGTGGAGGAGGAACCCCATCACATCCACTTCCCCCCTCTCCAATCGCTTTACTGCCTCAGTGAGGTCCCTGTCCACCAGGTACACATCCCTCCTGGCCATCCTGGGTGCCCGATCTTTCCCCTTCCCTGTTCTATAGAAATTGGCATGCTCCCTGAACACTTCTTGCTCCAGGTCCTTCATTGTCACTGAAATGTCAAAAAATCAAATTATTTATTGCAAGTAAAAATGAGTGATTTTACTCAAAAACTAGAAATTGTTTTTGTTCTAAATTTAGTTTTAATAATGGAATTCCAGCAATATGGGGAAAGTTCTAGAGTCATCTAAATGATCAATAGTTTGAAGTTTATCAGAGTTATTTGCAAGTACTCTTAAGTGTAGTTCAGGAATATTTTTGTAAGAAGCTGTTGTTGTAGTGTGTGTGTGTGTTCCGAATCTAGTGTTTACAGTGAGTACTTTAAATGAGGATTGAACTATGTTTCAGGATTTTAAGAAAAACACCGGTTGCTGTTGCTGGCTGACCAGAGAGGGAACTGGCGAGATCCAAGCTGGCCAAACAGACCTTCACAGTGGGAGCTGCACAGCTCCAAATCTGAGCAGAGAGGATCTGCAGGATCTGCATAAATGGCTAAAAGGTCCTCCCTTAAGTCCTTGATGGACAGAAAGTCTCTGGTATGTAAAGTACCTTACAAAACTTGCTCAATGCAATTTTATTTGGACAGTGGTGCATCAGACCATATGTGTGGATGTCGGACTCCTCAATCACTCAACAAATGTCCTATGTTTTACTTACAGAGCAATTTCCAGAAGGGGGGTCTCTTGTTGGGAGACATGCTGTTGAACTTTCGGTTGAAGCTCTCCAACCCGGATGTTGCTTTAATCTCGTGGCCATGGACGGACAGCTCTTCGACGCCAACTTTAACTATCCACTCCTTGCGGAAGTATTTCTGAAATTTGCGGAATTTCTTCAACTCAGATCCCCTCAGATCTTTCTTCGCCTTGGCCTCGAGCAGCTGCACTCCCTTCAAGATGTAAGTATGAGGGAGTCGAGGTAACAGCGCATATAGGCGAAGAAGACTGGCAACTGGAGTGTTTTCATGCTTCTTTTTCCAGAACTTCCCCAAGCCTTTCAATCCTGCTTGTTTGTATATAGCCTGTGAGGAACAAAAAAATGTTTACAACATTTCAGAACATTAAGGGGACACTATGGTGAGAAAAATGAGGACATTTTTGGTCTAAAAATTGCAGTTTTTGAAAGATTCCCTGCGCAAAGCTATTAGAGATGGAACTTTGGGGCTCATATGCATTTAATTGTAGGGTATTCAACTTAATTTGCCGGCATTGTCAACAACAACGAAGATGTCAAAGCCACCCACACACGCCAAAGGTACTAACTCCTATTGGAAAATGTACTGAGGACACTCCTGTTGTTTGATTTTGATATCCATGCCGGGTTTTAATATTAGTGTATAATAGAACATTCTAACATAAGATTTGGCAATATAACTCAAACCAGTTTGCGCATGGAACTTTTCAAAGATAGGCCTGTTTTAACATATTTAAAGATTTTCAGAGCTTTGGGTGGCTCCTAAAATTCTGAGAAAGCTAGAGAAGGTCCTATTTTGTGAATGCTTTAAGAAATTTAAAAGGAAAATGTTCAGAAACATAGGCTTCCAAATTTCACCATAGTGTCCCCTTAACACAAGGTTTTCTGTTATGTTTCATTTAACTGAGAAATAGGTGGCACTGTACATATTTTCAATAGCTTTTAAGGGGTAGAAATTACAATTTTTGTTCTGTTAGAACTGTTGCGGGGACACAAAGATCAAATTTATCATGTTGTCTGGCACGTAACTCTAAACCCAATGCGCAGGAAGATTTTAGAGCATTTAATAAAAAGTTCCAAATAGAGTGTTTGAATGTTAGTAACAACATTACCAATATGATGATTTTTAATGTGTAGTTGGATGAAAGAGTGCTGCTCTGACCAAAAAGTGTCAGTGGCATACACAAATGAGAATGGGTTGCAAGTATGAGTCAGCTACTGTATTAAATGCCATAAGGTTCATTATTATCCAAAATGACCAATTTTTCACTGTAGCCTCCCCACAACTTTAAACCTGATGCTCAGGGATATTTTAAATCATTTAGAAAGATAGTTTTGAAATTATTGTTTTAAAGGGTAATGTTATGTTTCAGATCTGTAAGGTTCTGAGACTGCCTGGCACAAAGGAAGGTCTGAGGGAAGAGAAGTCTGAATGGTCTGCTTATTTAAAATAAATATTCAAGCTCACCCTGACGAAGTGCCATATGCATCCAGTCATCTCAGCGTTAGGAAATGCCTTCCTGAAGGCATTTCTTTGGGCTGGTTCCCAATCGGAGATGACCTTTGCCGGCGGAGCCAAGCCCTTTTCCTTCAGGAATTCCAGAACTGCAGCATAAGCGGGCTCATCCATGGCACTCATGAGGGCCATTGCCACTGGAAAAACCTAAATCACATGAAAACCAACATGCAGGTACAGTTAACAATTTAGAACTATCCAAATGCTGTACAAAATATCGTTGTAAATTTACGACATTTGTCAAAGAGAATAAAGTTGATTCATGCACTGGTAAAACAAGTGTGCACCAACGTGAGCAGGTCATGATTTTGCACATTACATGGTGTCTAACTGAAGTTGCACATTTGGCCACACACAAATCTATGCTATCAGCATGGGAACGATATACGGTGTGCAGCTGCTATACTTTTCGGACATGTCAAAAGTTTGCACACCAATTATTGACGTTTAAAATCTTATTAGATACCTCAATGTGTGTTCATTTTGCACACATGAACTTATACATCAATTGACGTGCAAAATTATAAACACTTGTTTTACCAGTGTGAGAACAAGTAAATTTTACAATATGCATTTGTAACTGTACAATAACTTTTCTTATGGAAACTTTCTGTTACAGTGAAAGTAATTTGAAGCTGAATGGACATGGAATGTTCCATTTGTAAGGGAATTCACCTCCCAGTTGACGTACCTTGCCATGCTTAAAAGCTGACAGAATCCATATTTGCTTGACGCCATCGATGTCTGGCGCCATATAAAATGTGCCATCGCCCGCCAGCGTGTCCTGCCTCGACAACATTTCCAGGCCTCTTTTGGAGCAAAAGATGACACTCTCCCTCCCTGGGCTGCCCACCACCCCTTGAAAATAGTTCTGCAGATCATCAATAGTTCTTCCTAAAACCAAAAAACATGCTACAGTAAATAAAATATAACTTTCCATTTGTTACAGTCTCAACAACTAGTAATTACCCAAGTAAGCATGTTCTGGGGTGTTGAGAACATTTCCCACATGGCTGAGGCTGGTCATTTTGCCTTGAGGAAGATTCCTTCTCCTGCGATAGCCCACCGCATCCCGAATGGACGCAAAGCAGACATCGTTTTTTGTGGCCTCGTCAAGACTATAAGATTAAAATTCATATTGAAGAGGTAACTTTTACATCACAACACACACACTCAGAGGCATTTCTTAAAAGTACCGAAAGTCTTAACAGTTTGTACGTGTGCTACAGCTACAAACTCACAATCCAGGCCTCCGTAACTTATTACTTAACTGCTGTTAACATTATTTTAAGAGTTAAAGTCATAGGGTAAGATGCCCTATGATGGCCACCTTAAGAATGAGCCTACCCAATGATGGCCACCCCTTTTTCTTGTAATGTAGACAATGATGTGAAGTAGTTTGGCTTATTATGCCCAAGTAGGGACCTTACTTGAACACTACTTCAAGGCCAAGATTGTAAAGTGACCAGATTGGCTGGAAATCGAGAAAAGTGGCCATCAATGGGACAATGGCCACATTAGGGCACCTTATCCTAACTTGGTTGTAACTTTTAATATGTAGCCTTTTAAAAATAAGTTAGTTATTCGACTTGTCCAACTTTTCTCCAAATTATCTACTATTAATATCGGTCATATTTGAAAATCCACAACCTTTTCTTAAACATATGTTTTTGGCACGTTGAGTAACTAACATTCGTTCATGTTATGATAAGTTACGTAGCCCTAGTACAATCTCAACAGTTTTCAATAGTCATTGTACTTACTCTCTGCAAAAGTTTGTAATGAGGCAGTTCAACGACACATTATGCTGCTTCATACACAAATCAATGAGATTTCTTCTCAGCTCTTGAATTTCAATTGAATTGGATTCTTCTGGATGGTTGTGCGGCTGTGTCATTCTCACATTTGTCATGTCTACATTTGAAATCATTCTGCCCTTGCAGGCCGCCTGCTTTTGTGAGCTCCTCCAGTGCTTGCACCTATAGTGTCTTGAACCGTTTCTATCCTTATCTTTATAGTAAAAGTATCCATTATGAACGTAGATTTGTGTTTGCAGTCGTTGGCCTTGGTAGGAAGAGATGGCTTCAAAGAGGTCATCTAGACCCTCCTCCTCCTCTGGTTGATGCATGATGACTGAGCAGCAATCGGTCCATGGACAGGTGCTTTCGCGCCACTTTGCGGCCCCCCCCCCTCCCCCCCTTTATTTCTTCCCGCCGGAAGTGGCGGAAGTGGGACGACGCCATGGTGATGTTGACAAACAGCTGATCAGCTGGTAAGGACATCATGCCAGCAAGTAGCAGCGATCATCCTTATAGGTATCTGTTGTCTTTTTCAAGCTTTCTTTGACGGTTTTTGTCATCATTTTCAGGGGTTAATATTGTGTGAAAGGAGTGGAGTTTAAAAACAAAAGGTCAAAACTGCCAGATTGATGTGAAGTTTTATATAGACCACAGCTAACCCATGCCAAAGTGAGAGTGAGTTTATTTATCTGATAAAAATTGTAAAAACTATTACTATATACCTTCAAAGCTATAAATTTATACTGAAGCTATCTCATGTGATTTTGAGCTCTTAATATTATTTCGTACAATGTCAGATTACAATCGTACCTCATTAACCTTAAAGTTTGGTGCCAACTTCATATTGTGTCCACTTGACTTCAAATCTTGAATGCAATATATTGCAGGTCACTTATGCAAACAGGTTTTTGATTGTGTGAAGAATTGAACTCAAGGCTGAATATGTCTGATGTTTGCAACCAGGCCTCATCATCTTCTCATTCATTCCTGTAAGATTTAATGTACTGTTGTTTTTTCTGTCTAGATTGGTGTCAAGTAGTGTGAATGAATGACACCTTCATGAATGTAAGGACAGGTATAGTTAAAATACTCCTATTTTTACCAATACACTTTTGATAACAACAGTGTATGTGTTTCCATTTAGGTGGGTGTGACACTGTTTCTAGATCTGGAAGATTACCAGTGTGGCTGTTTGTGTTGAATCTCTCACAAAGTGTTACGGATCTCAACTCATCTCCAGAACTAGATCCCCAGCAAAATCAGACTTTCGAAGGTATGTGGACCCCTTCTTCCTCTTCCTAGATCTGCTCTCCCCTCCTCTCAATTGTTATTTGTTTCTCATCTTTTTCTTGTGATTATTTTTTGAGAATGGCGGAACGTTGTTGAAGAGTTTAGAACTGATGGACAATGTAACACTCTATAATTAGCTCTCTATACTTTCTTAGCTGGTCACTGCCAAATTCATGTCGTTAACTATTTGTTTTTCAAGAAGTTGTATTATTGTGCAACGCCCAACAATACTTTAAATTCTTTGCTGAGTATGCTAGCTTGATTTTTTCCAACTAGCAACCATATATATGTAGCTCAGGGGGCTGATTACCTAAAAGCATTTTTGGTACATTTGTCAATAAAATTAGTTGCTGAGCCAGTGTAGGTTTAGAGATGGTATCTGCTGAAGGCATATCTTTCAATACAAGTGATGGCTTCACACATTAGTAATATAAGAATGCCATAAACTACTGTTAAAAGTTAGCCCAGTATCTACTTTTTTTTTCTGAAGAATATCTCACTTTTAAATTTAACGCGAAAGATTCCTCCGGAAAAGTTAGTACCTTGTTTGTTTTAGTTCATCAAGCAAGACTGATTGACAGAGTTTTGGGTGAATTTCAAAGAATTATAATAATACTATAAAATTTAGTAAGTAGGATTCTAAAGAACAAATTCTCTTCAAATACAGTACAATGTTTTAATTTTTAATATCCAACTAGTTGACAAATGTACTAAAATGCTTTTTGGGCGATAAAAGCCCAATTAACTAATGTCTATCCAATTTTATGTCTATTATGTGAAATGTGTATCATGTATTGAGATTTGTTCTTTGCTCCTAAGCTGGATGCCTTCGTTTTGATGGCTGGGCTATCTGGGAATGTGGGATCTCATTTCCAGAGCAAATTCATGGATTCCTTAGAGAGTAAAACACAAAGGCAAGATAGAGGAAAATCTTCCACTACACCACTGTTCCATCACCTCTACCCTGCAAGGGGTGCTTTTAGATATTTGAAGGTAAACCAAATTTTTGCCTTATTCCTCGTCTGACTTGCTAATTTAGCACTGTATTTGTTCTGTGTCAAGGAAGACATGTTTCTGGTCAAATCAAATACTATGTTAATGTCTTAATTATCTTTATTTATTCTCTTTGCTTAGTACACATGCCAAAAATGTAAATTCTGAATCCCCCACCCCCTACCTGCATAATTTAGTATTAGGAATATTTTTTTTACAATCATGTACTTTTATTTGTAATGAACACTCCTCTCCTTACTCAAAAAATTGGTATTTGAACAATTGACATTACTGTAGTTTTGTGTGTTTACAGGTCAAAACCAGTTTTACCTACAACATCCTTCATAAATTGGAAATGTTGAAAAAAGTACGCCATCAATCAAACCCTCTGAAGGAGTCTTTCACATCACAAGTAAGTTCATATGATACTAGATTGGTTAGCACTTTTTAGGACATGTGTGCCTTTGCTGATGAGGGCTTTGGACTCATTGGGTGTTTCGACGCCCTGTCCTATCGTGTCGTAATACCCCACCAAAACGAGTCCGTCTCCGTCTCCGTCCCTGGCAATACAGGGCAAGCTCTCATCTCGACAAAGGGACGATCATCAGGGAATGTTTCCAGGACGCTATCCGCTACCCTCCTATACGCCTGGCGTAACACCGATGCGGGGTCGGCTGTGAACAGACGGTCGCGGGCAGCCTTCGCGGCCAGAGTCTTTAGTTGTGTTCTCTCCGCGTTTGCGCCAAGGGTCCGCGCCGGTGGGGCTCGTGGTGCTCTACACTTTGGACAAGTGTCGGGCGGGAGCCTGCTGCCAGGGTAGTACTCCGAATGGCTTCCTTTCGGGGAGGGGGGGGCATCCCAACCAGGTGCGCGCGTCAGCGTACACCGCATCTTTATTTTGACTGAGTTGGTGACGAAGGGGTGGGCTCCTGGCCTAGTGCTGTTGGCACGTCGCACTGTCTGGCCGCACCTGCCCCGCCACATCCGTGGAGAAGCGGCATGTACAATGTGCAGTGTTTTTCACGGGCTCCGCAGACCGACGCCGCGGCCGTGTTCGCGCGCCTTTCTGCTCGGCGCTGTGCTCTAGGGTCGCTCAATTCAAACCTAGCGCGCGTCGTGCAAGTCGATCGTTTCGACGACCTGACTCTTGATAGAGACAGCACCTGGAGCGTGCCTGAAAAGGCACACGATGCGCCGCTCCGAGTCGCAGACCAGCCCGCCCACGCGTGTCTTCCATTCGGTTGTGCGCGGCACTGCGCCGGCCTCGGACACCGCAATCACCTGCTTGCCCGCGTCCAGGACTAGGCGGTGCAGCCATTCGCGCCCAACTGCCGCCGGCTGCCGGAACTCGTTTTTGCCCGAGCCGCGAGCGCCGCCTAAGGTCTTCACGGGGTTGTTTGCTTAGCCACTTCCACCCGCAGCGGGTAGTTCTGGGGGCCGATCCCTGACGCTCAGCTTGAGCAGGTAGCGGCCCGAGGCCCACCGGGGGCCGCCCACGGCCTGAGCCGTCGAGCCCCCGCCCTACACGGCAGTGGCGAGGAGCGCGGACTTGGACGGCGACGTGCCCGACGAGCAGGGCTGCGACAAGGGTACCACCCCGTCCGGGGGGGGGGGCTCGTCCCGCAGGTTGCCGATTGCCCGATCTTTGCCTGTGACACCGCACCCGAGAGTCAGGTGCGATGTGTATAGAGCATGCCCGGGCTGCGCAGCTTGGAGGTAGGTACACAATGACCATACGGTCCAAATCTAACCTTCCCTCCCCCTCGAGTCGCCTCGAGACGCCAACACTAGCAAGGCAACTCGGTGAGCGACGATAGGCACGCCCGCACGCACGCCTGCATCCGGTACAGTATAACCAGAAGAGCGAACGGGGCTGGCGAGTGTTGGCGTCTTGAGGCGACTCGAGGGGGAGCGAAGGTCAGATTTGGACCGTGGTCATTGTGTACCTACCTCCAAGCTGCGCAGCCCGGGCATGCTCTATACACATCGCACCTGACTCTTGTCTATTTTTTTAAGAAATTGAGCCCTTCCAGTTTCAACGACAGGTCCGGGTAGTCCACATCCTCAGCGCATTGAAAACAAAGACGGCCCCATGTAAGCCGCAGCAGGGGTCGCAGGAGCAGCGTCGTTGTCGCCGTCGTCAACCTGGTGGGGGAGAGAGCGGATGAGCACCTCGTCAACATCAACATGGGCACAGCCCATTTGATTGTAGACTCGGCCGTCAGCCTGCATTAACAGAGGGCGAAAGATGTCGCCGCAACCATCGGGTTGCACACAAGTGCACACGAGCCGTGCAGGCCGAACTACCCCCTTCTTCTGCAACGACACTGCACTTGATGTGGGTGAGCAGACGGTTGCTAGCATTCAGTTGCTCCGCCAGCTGCACCGGCTCCTTACGATGTCCGACGGGGTGACTCCGTCGCCAGCTGCCTCCCGCCCTTGGCTGTTTGAAGGGCCAGGTCATGGTGCCGTTGCCGTTGGCCCTGTGGCGGCTCGTCCTCGTACGTCCTGAGTAATCTTATAAAATTTGCACAGCCCAGGTCACCAACTGTGGGGTGCAACGACGGACCATTCGAAGATTTTTCCCATCACATCTGTTGACGTGGTTTGCAGGGCTTGCAGGTGGAGCCTGCCGGATGGCCATGTTTCTATTGTACAGTTTCATTTTATTATCATTGCAGCTCATGAAGTTGGTGAGCCATGCGCCTGATGGCTCCGAGCGCATAGGCATCCCGCCCGCAGACCTGCATGCAGGCTAGCACACCCCTTCGCTCGGACGGGGCTGGACGCCCACCCTGTGGGGGGGCTCACAGGCATCTATCAGCGTCACGGGCGTGCTGCTCTCGACGTAGACGTGCACCTCGAGCGCTGCTCTCACGCCCGTCTACTTCATGAACCAGTCGACAGGGTCCAGTGGTGCGCGAGCAGCGGTTGCACCGTGGTTTGGACGTACGAAGGAAAGACCTCTGACGACCCGGATGCCACCATGGACTCTAGAAGCAGTAAGTAACTGTGCACTCCTATCCTCTAATCACGATTAACTTCGTAAAAGGTAATCTATTCTGTTGTTTTTCTCTTGTGTTGCAGGTGTCTTTGATCAGTGGCTTGTTTTCCTTTTAATTATATGGGGTCACTACTGAATTGGATTCAAATATAAGTAAAGTCTGTCAAAGAACTTTACTTCTAGAGTCGATTTGAATTGTAAGTATACTGTTATTAACTCAGCACATGGTATACAACAAAATCAGCTGAAGGGACGTTCTTTGGGTGTCGGGCAAGCACATTGTGATGTTCAATTTTGACCAAATATATTTGTCGTTGTTCTTGGAGAACTACCAAATACCCAGAATAAAAAAGGTTCAAATGGTGGTTCAAATATGGACAAATATGTATCTATCTCAAAAGTCGTGGCAATAAATTTTGATGAAATATCTTGATTTCGATGTTGCTCAACATCCTGATTTTAAAAATGTAGCCGAATGACAAGACATGATATACATTTTATTTTAGCAAAGATTGTTTTGAAAGATAATAAGAGAAGGAAAGGAAAAACAAACTAGGAGGTAGATAAATAATAGAAAGAAAAAAAGTAACAGTAATCAATAAATGATTTAGTTAAATAGCAATAGATAAACGATTGGGATAATCTATCTGTCTTTGAGGACTGGGATGTAAGGACTTGTTGATGACTAAAATGCTTCATGATTTCTAGCTTAATTTTTTTGGAGGTCTGTGATTTGTTTGTAGTTGTATCTTTGAGCGATACAGTTACAGGCACTTTTGAGACCGTATGAGGTTGAATTGCTTCTATTTGTTCTCATATTTTCTTTATTTCTTGTACTGCAATGGTGATGATCTTGGTGACCGTTTAAAACTGAATGGCAGATTGTGGCTTAAGCAGATGATATGAGGTCCAGTTTGAGGATTTTAATTTCATGGAATATCTTGCCAGAGTTTGTTAAGGGATCGTAGCCAAATAAAATTTTCATTGCTCTCTTCTGAAGAATTTTAAGGTGTTCAGTCTTGATAGGGTGGTAGTACCCCAGATTTTTGCCATATAGCTTAGAGGAGATTGTATGAGGCCATAGTAGGTTGCTTTTTTGCTGCTGGTGTTTGAAATGGAGGATAGTCTGTCACAAACACCAATAACAGGAGCAAGATTTTGCAGAAATTTTCAAATTGTTGATCCCTTATTTGGAGGTGCTCATCCATTGTTAACCCTAAGAATTTTGCTGAGGTTGATCGAAAGATTTTATGGTTGGAGATGAAAGAATGCTTGATTAGATTTGGGTGAAGGCTGAGTTTTGGAATATAGCGTAATTTGTCTTACTGATGTTAGTAAACTAAATATATTTATTCCATTTATTTATTTTTAATATAGATGAGAGCTAGCAGCTCAATAAGCAAAGGCGGAAAGAGGCTGCATGATATGGATGATATTGAAGACACCCACAATGGAAGAGAAATAGTTGTGAGAGGAAAAAGAAAGGTAACCATTTTGCACATATATTGATACTGTTGTTTTTTTATTTTAATGAGTTACTGACAACTGTGGTGTTTTTGTTTTATTTCCCAGTCAAAGGTAACTGAATCTACCACTAAAAGAATGAGGCAAGATGAGATTATACCACGAGCAATGATAAAGAAAATAGCAATGTATTACAGGAGTCAAAACTTAAAGGTAAATGTGCCACTTTCTTTTGTTTGACGATGAATATTAAATCTATTTTTAACACAGTTTGAAACGTGTATGTTCGCTGCCTGCTGCTGCAGAATTAAAGAAATCCATCCAGAACTTTAAGAGAGGAAAAGCCAATGAGATATTTTTTTTTTCTTTTTCAGCTTCTTTAATCCAAAGATAGGAGAAGTTCAAGTAATTCCTAAACAATCTCATATCAAGATGGCAATAAATTTTGATGAAATATCTTGGTTTTGATGTTGCTCAACAACAATCTCATATCAAGGTGAAGAATTGCATATTGAAACCCAACAAAGTCTTGCCTTCACTGAGTGCTCATCGCTTGCCTTCAACTATTCTGATGCTGAGGTAGTATGTGTTCTGAATGATTTATTTTTATTCAATCAACGGAACATATAGTTTGTCAACTGGCTCTAGCTTATATTATTTACTTTGCTTACTTCGGTATTATAAAATGTACTTTCTGTACCGCTAGGCTAGGTGTTGTAGTTATTTGATAATACAAGCGTTGATATTCAGTAAATTTAGTGCAGCAAAATGTTAAGCCAATAACTAACTTACCCTAAATAAGTCAATCAGGAAGCTTCAATTGTTTTTGACATCCAGTGCACACTTCACTTGTGAACTCTTTTCTTTCTGGGTTCACCTTCATCATCGATAATAGTTATTGTCAAATGTAAAATGTTCATATGTTCTTGAATGCATATCAAAAGATAATTCTGAAAAAATGTAAATTTTAGGTACAAATACTAGTTATTACAATATACTGTCATCCTGAATTTGATGCCCCAGGTACTTATTTTACATAAAACTTGAAACATTTTTCAACATTGTTTGCCTATGCCTAACTTCAGGTGACTCTGCTTGTATCCCAATTTTCAAAAGTCTTAGACAGGAGCATTGCATTGAAACAGTGACAATTCAAATCCAAGGTACTCCCGTCAGTGTATTTTTTATAGTTCAAATTTTAACTAACACCATGTGTGTTTTAGTAAAATTTAAAATTCATCTCTTTACAAACATTTCAGTTAAAATTTGGTCTCGGATAACTAAAATGTATCCCGTTATTATTCCTGTTCTGTGTTTTATCTGGTGTGGATTTATCTTTAAAGTCTTAGGGTCCTAATTGCTCTGTAAAAATGTAACACAACTTACTTTTATTTTTGAATTAAGACATCTTCAGCAAAAATGCTTGGCTAATCATGGAAAGTCAACACTTTCTTCTGAACAATAAAGAAATTTGTAACTTTAAAAGTAAAGTCTTCAGGATTCTGTACACCTATTTCGATTGGATTTTGTGTATAAACACAGTCTAAACACCTACTTGTTTGACATTTCTCCTAAATTGAATTCCTGCAAATGAATTTGTTGAAGCAGTTAGTCAAATATTATTTTGATTGCAGAAGCAGTCATTTGCCCAAAACTTTTTTAATTGTCTTCTAATTCTTTGCCTTTTCATGTAATCTGGGAGACAGCGGTTTTGATGTTTTTGAAAATGATTCTACTTTGTTAAAGTTTATCAATATGAGAGGCACATCACAGTGTTAAAATTGAAAATAACTAAGAAGTATTCATAGAACAAACTTGATTATTTATTTTGGGCTACCTGTAGAAATAGAAAAGATGACAGTAAGTCTCAAATGTATATTTTTTCCGCAGTAGAGAATAGTAGTGGCTCATGAGATCTTGTGCATTAAAATCATTACCAGACTGCTCGAGTTCTTTCCGGAGTCTTTGGCGCTCCGGAAGATTTCTTAAACAATATCGTTGTGGTGTTTGTTGATCTATTGAAAACAAATAGAATATTTAATTTTTATGTTCACTAAGATTTCAAAGGCCAGATCAGTTTCTATTTACTCACCTTGCTGTTTGCTCTGCTTCCTGCCCTGCTTCTTCCCATTTCGCTTCTTCTTCTCCTCCTGCTCTCCGTTTCTCTTCTCCTCCTCTTTTCTCTTCTCCTCTTCTTTTTTCTTCTCCTCTTCTTTTTTCTTCTCCTCTTCTTTTCTCTTCTCCTCTTCCTCTTTTCGCTTCTTTAATTTCTTTTTCTTGCCTTCCGCTGCCCTCTTCCTCCTAGCCCTTATCCTCTCCTCACCAGGCACCTTCTTCCCCGCTGAAATAATCACAAAAATCAGCCAGGAATATTTTTACAATAAGTCTCAACCAGTGGTTACCTCCAAACTTTTTGTACCTCGCTTCTGCTTTTCTCTCCTCCACCATGCTGTTTCCTTCCGTTTCTCCCTAAAAATATTTAGTAGAATTTATTACCAAGACTATTGACAAACAATGTAAATGAAAGCAAAATCAGCTGCAAGTAAATGGGTTTACTTGAAGGTCGGGTTTTAAACAAATGTATCACTCCCTCAATGTTAATTGTGAAATTTTAGAAAAGGATTTTTGTTCCAAATTTTTAGCAAATAGTAAATCGTTTCACATTGTCCTATAGTCAATTCTGCTGTCAGTATCAAACCCTGATATCGGTTTTTCATTTGTGTATTTTCCATACCAAAGTTTCAACACTGAATTAGCAACACACTATCCAGTTTATTAGTTTTTGGATATCCCTTTTGATATAGTTGTTGATACTATTAACTATTACTGTTTTAATCGTGGATTGATGTTACTTTTTGTTTATTAATCATCAGTATATCTGCCTCTACTAATGAAGTGCATAATTTCGAAATGGCAAATTTCATTACTCTTCTCCTGATATTTAAGCTTGTTCACATCAACAAAGAGTTGTATCATGCTTCCGTTCTTTACTCACACTACGTCGACGTTCATTCTCTTCCGTTGACTGCTCTCAACCACTCTCAACCCTGAGATGACAGTCTCGGTCAAGGTCAAGTTAGGCTACGCCCCCCCCCCCTTCTTGTGAAGTTGAATGTTGTTGTTGTTCCATGCCATGGCAGTCTGGTGTTCTCTTTGCCTGGCAAAATGTATTTCTCCTGTTGTAAAATGTACAAAAGTTCGTGGGTGAGAGTAATTTCCAGTGTATAACTGCATTTGTGATGTACCTAAATTAAATTTAGTTAACTTTTAACACGACTGTCAGTGAGCTGCTCGAGCAACTGCCCACCGACCAGGTAAGGTTATAAAGTCTTGTTCTTCCATTCTCCGATCAAGGAGGAGTCGTAAAGTTGTGCGTTTTGAAAACTCTTCGTAGTGTCTAATTATTTTTTCTTAATTTCTTACAGTTCGGCACCAGGTTACGGGCGTCAACGCTACTATAACAGCGTTGACCCGAAAAAGTATGTGGCCAAAACTTATGACATGCCCTTTTCGAAGCACCCCAAGTTTCTTCTGTGGATTTCTCTCGTCCGCCTCTACACCCAAGCCGAATGCTGTCACATTAAAGTAATTACAAGTTAGTAATTGTCTCCGTCGACAACTCATGTCACATTCAATCACTATTCTAAGTGACATTTCATCACATGCACCATTGGAAGTTTGGTTATAGCTCATTGAAATACTGAGTCATTTATTACAATTATTTGTTGTCTATTTTGATGAGGCCCTACGCCATAGAAGTAAACTATTACTTTGGCCAGAAGTTCCCTACTGTTCAAGTTTTTCACAGTATTGTTGTTTTTGCAGGAGTTGCATCTGTAAGTTTGCTGGAGTAATAACCCTACTTCTCACTACCTTGGCTGAAAAGTGTTGTGGTTCAAACAACAACTGCACCCCGTCCTCGTGCAGAGTTCTGTAAGTACAGGCAGACCATAGCCATTCTTTATTCCTCCCCCTTCGCAGCTCGCCTGCGAACTCCTATGCTAAAGGTGCTTTGAGAAAGTACAACCTTTTGCTGGGCTCTTCAGCAAAGCTTAGATAACCTTTGTTCTCTCTGACAGAGAGCACTCACTTTATTTCAACTCTGATTGAAAGAGACTAGGCACCCAATTTTTTTCTGTAAGGATTGCAATATTGTTACATTAACACCATGAATATGTTTCGATAGAAACAATAAATGTGAGATAGGCAACGACGGTTCCAAATTGGTAATTCCTTATGTGCATGATTTAGTAAGAATTTTTGTATCTCTTTAAATACAGGTAAATCATTGTAATGTTGACATTCCTTTTTAAGCTTCTGTTTCTTTTCTAGATGGTGTGTTAGCAGGGGAGTATTCATACTGTATCAAGTGAACCCATCGCAATGTCTTCAGAATGTGAAGTGAGTGTCAATAACTGCCCTTCGCTGGTTTTCCTTCTAGTGGCACAGTGCTACTTACCTTGTGTGATATTAAGATACAACCACCTTCATTTATTTCTTATCATTTGTTTCAGTTTGGTTTGAAAATAAACTTTTACTAGATGTGAAAGCAGTATCACATTCTCTGAACATTTTTGTGGGTGTGAACTTCAAGAAGTATCAAAGATGAGTATTGTCAATATGCATGGAAGGTATTGTGAACAGATTATTTTTGATAATTGTGAATGCAGCTTATCATTTCTGTACCACCTTTGAGTTACCAGTGAGAAAGCGTTTCAATCCTCTTCTATCTGCCATGTTTTCTGATGTTGACTGTAGCAACGGTTTTGAGGGCATAATTTTGCCATCGACTGGAAATGCACTCTTGACATGGAGCGATTACTGTCTCTCATTGAGAGCGAGACTGGAGTCTTCCGCATGCTTTTGCTGTGGTACTCTGAAAATTCTCTGTCTACCTGTGCTTCAATGATTTTTGCACTGGTTTAGAAAGCATTTAGTTGCTATCGACTGGGATTGCATAATCAAAGAGCATATTGGTTAGTCAATTAGCTTTGCTGGTCTTTGCTTTTCCATGATTGATGTACTGGTTTAGAGCGCATTTAATTGCTATCGACTGGCAATGCACAATCAATGGTAAGGCAAATCAGTTTTTGTCTTTTTTGTATGTTGTTTGTCAGCATTTGCTAAAGACACTCCATTCCTGATTAAGAATAATTATCTTGAGCTCAGTAATATTGTTTAACTTTGGGTTACATTTTATACATAGTTTTATTCCTTCAAGATTATCTTTTATCTGATAGCTGTATTTTATAATCATTTTCTTTTTTATTTGCCGCTGCCCTATTCTAAACCCTCAACTCTAAAATTTTGATCTTGTATTGACCAGTTGTACTTATAGTGCCATATGGGAAAGTGAGTGTGTGTAATAGACAAAATGCTATCTTCAGATTGTTCAGGTTCTCTTATCTGGAGACTGTACAAACGCTGTTGTATCTTCAACTTCAATTTTGTGTTTCAGAAATGGAGTTTTTTCCAAGCAAGCAGGAGTCAAGAACAACGAAAAAGAAACTTCGAAAGAGAACACTCACAATCTGGATTGCATGTAGGTTTTACAAAAGTACTGTATATAATTATATGTACTCAGATAAAAGTGTGATTGCCGTTCTATGTTTTGTTGTTGTTGTTTTTTGTTTTGTTTCATGTTAGATATGACCATGGAGCTCCTAAGATTTCAAGACTTTGTTGAATGTCATCTGTTAGCTGTCCAACTTTCCTCATCACAAATCTTATTGTGTTCATATTGTTCTATTCTCACCACCTAAGGAGGGTGCAGTTGTCACCCACCTATCAACTCCTATACTCTGGAATCATAAATAAGTAAGATCATACCTTACTTACAACTCTACTTCTACGAATGGAAATAAAGGGTGAACAAGTGAATTCATCTTTTTCCAGGGTATTGACAGCAAAACATGCTTTTGCAGTTTGACGATAATACACACCCATTATTGCGAGTCAATGCTCCCAGAACATATGCCATCAAGAGTGGTGAGTGGACACCTATTGTAGTATGTTCTGTTTCAGTGTACGTATGTCACACTTTACTCACGTGATTGTTCATTTTTATTTTCTCCCCTAAACTGGATGTCCAGTTATTACTCGCCTACCAACGCTATTTCTTCCAAACTTGGACTGATGGGAAAAGCATGCAAACAATTTTACGGATTCAAATGGAGTTATTCCTTGGCCCTCCTGATTTCATTTTCATTCAGGGGACTCACAGGTAAATGTGTTGAACAAGTTATTTCCTCTATAACATGTCAAGTTTTTATATCTTGTGCTTTGTTTTAATTATTATCTATGTGTTTGATTTATATTATGATTTTCAAATGTTTATCTTAAATTTAAAAAATGCAATTCGGATTTTATTCCTTTTAATGATTTATACATATTAACTCGTACTATCATGTTATCTTGTTTTTCTTATTTCAATAGCGTGATGAGATTGTTTGATGACCTTTCATTTTCTGCTGGTGGTTAGTGGTTATGAATCACATTATATAGAAGTCCTCTGATATCATGTTATGTGATGGGAGAAAGGAGCACCTCAGGTAAGACTTTAATAGATCTCTTCAAACTCAAGAATTTTTCGCTGCTAGTCTAACACATCATTTGGTATTATACAGCCTGGGTTTTGTCTCTTCACTCTTGATACTTGGGGATTGAATTCCAAAGTAAGTTTTTTATCTACTTGGTGAATTTCAAACTAACAATCAGTATGAGTATATTCTTCTTTTATGAGACTAAACTGTTCTGTTTTTGTTGTTGTTTTATTTATGAAGACTACACTGTCCTGCTTTGGGGTTTGAAGGCTGCAACATGTTTTCAACAACATACTACCATGCAGTCAAAATTCAGGACAAAAGTTTGCATTCCTCAGTTTGTCTTGAGTAACTATACTTAAAAAACGTGTACTAGTCTGCAATGGCAACAAAGTCAGGTAAATTTGTTTCTTTTTGTGACTTCTCTCTCTCTTCAAAGTAAAGTTTATTCAAATCAGAATAAAAGAATGCTAATACATATTTTTGCAACATTTTTGTAAATACAAACAGGTTCTGATGTAACATACATTTTATTTTCTGTGCGTAGCTTCTATTGTGATGTGCAGACCCGTTGTGACCATGGCATTGGTGGGTAACTTATTTTACTTACTACAAGGAGGTTGGCGTAGGTCCTTGTCCAATACTCAACAGGATGGAAATCACTTTATCTCTGAAGCTGCTACAGATGGATTCTTCTTTTCAATTGAATAACTCCAATGTAAGTTTTACACTCTTCCCAACACCTCTCCCTTTTTGTGCTCTCTTATCTGAATTGTAATGAGGCAAAACTGTTTCATTACTAAGAATTTGGAAAGTATTTGTGCTAAAATTATTTCATCTCTAGTAGACTATCAGTACACATCATTGGCTGGGTTAGATAATGAATTTAGTTGCTCATTCACTATTTTTCCGAAGTAACCACAGTTGATGCTTCTCTTGGAAGCCTCTCTTCAAGCATTGTGTTATCTAATTACCATTCATAAAATTACTATAACTGATTATTACAAGTTTTGAGGCATTGTATCTTGATGATTGCAAAGGTTTCACTCAAACATCCCTTTGGTTATCCAATTTCCATGTGTTTATCTGTAGTTCCTTATTACAATTTTGTTTCTATTCTCTTTATTCTTTTGTACATGTTAACATTTTATTGCCCTCTTTTTTCAGATTCTACTGCTTTGTGGTGTGAGAAAGCAACCTTGGATTTTGTGTTAGTGGGCTACATGGATACCTTTGTTTGCTCCAGACATGTAGAGTACAGGTCATGTATCACATTCCATGGAAGTCTGAGAATATGTTCAAGAAAAGATAGTGACATACAAGAGTCACCTTCTAGGTAAGATATGGGAGCCATTTTTTTTAAATTTACAAGAGGCTTACTTGGTGTAGTAGTATATTACATGCAACTGCGAAAGTTTGTTTGTTTACACCTCAATGGCATGGTTTAAATGCTAAATCGTGAAATCTAATTATGTGCAAAACTTATCCCAAACGTTTAAAAATATTGCTATTGTCATGATAGGTTACAGGCTGCGAACTGTTTCAGTACATAAAGCTCGAAAGATGGAAAGATTTTCAGTCTAAATATTTTTACTCTCTGCTCTTGTGAAACATGAGAAGTTCTGTATTTTCTTTTTAGATACTGTAACGTTTCTTTGATAGATCAATGTCTCAGATTTTGGGTTAATCATTCTTGAACTCACAGAATCTCCCATGGAATTTAATCATCATGTGGCTGCTGTGTGTTATTTTGTCGATTGTTGCAATGGTTTAGAGAGCGTACCTTCGCTATCGACTGGAAATGCACAGTTGAATAAAATACTGCCTCTCATTGAGAGGAAGACTGGAGTCTGCAGTATGCCTATGGCTTTGGTTTTCCTGTGCTCCTGTGCTTTAATGGTTGCTGTTATGGTTTGAAGGCATGCACCTGCTATCGACTGGAAAGGCACAACCAGAAAGCATATGGTTAGTGTATCAGCCTGTTAACTGAGGAGACCTTGGTCTTCACAAGCCTTTTGTATTCTGGGGAGCAAGTTTTGAATTAATGTAGTTGTAAAGTACTTATTTAGGGGTCAAAGATATACCTGCAGATAAAGAGGTTCAATTTTATTCTCCTAGATTAGTGATGCATACTACGAACAGTGTCAGTTGTACGTATCCTTACTAAAAAAAGGGGGCAGCTTAGTATGAGAAATAAGAGTTCTGTCCTTCTGTTGTACTAGCTCAACTTTGTTCCATATTCATCTTATAGTTTTAAAATTTATAGTTACCATAACTATTTTGCACTCACTGATCAACTTTTTGATTTTTGGATGCTGAGGTCACCAGCAATTATGAAGTTAATTGTGCGACTCCTGGTGCACATTGATCATTCCAGGCAATTGCTTACTGAAATTACTAAGCGTTATTTGGAGACGATGGTCAATTAGTGATTGCATTGACTTTTGCATTGGATAGCAAAGGTCAGTATCAGGGCATGCCCTGAGAAAACCTTTCAGTTTTCAATTTCTAAGTTACTGTAATAACTATTTTATACTCACTAATCAACCCCTTGATTAGATGCTGAGGTCAGTAGCAGGAGCTTCCGTGTTCTTGCGAAAAGCTTAAGTTTCTAATCATGAAGTTAATTGTGAGACTCCTGGTGAGCATTCCTAACTGAAGCTACTAAGTGTTACTTGGAGACGATGGTCGAACAGTGATTGCATTGACTTTTGCATTGGATAGCGAAGGTCAGTATCAGGGCATGCCCTGAGAAAACCTTTCAGTTTTCAATCTCTATGTTACTGTAATAACTATTTCAGACTCACTAATCAACCCCTTGATTAGATGCTGAGGTCAGTAGCAGGAGCCTCCATGTTCTTGCGAAAAGCTTAAGTTTCCAATCATGAAGTTAATTGTGAGACTCCTGGTGGGCATTGATCATTCCAGGCACTTGCAAGTCACTAACAGGCCCCCCTTAGTTCCCCCTTGTTCCTAACAGTCTGTCACTTTAAGAACACTGCTCAACTTGATTATTCCGGTTGCATCACTTATCTGGGAGCTGGTCGTGGATTTTTAACATTATATTCATGTTTTTATAGTGTACTAGGTGAAATCTTTTGGACTGAAAAAATACAAAACACAATTGATAACAAATTTGAGGTTTATTTTCTGTGACTACTAAAGCTGTCTAGTTTCCGAAGCTGTCATAATTAAGAAGGACTCCTAGGAGTACTACAGCAAACCATCTACTTTTCCCTTTCCCCTCAAAAATATTTTGAATGCCTCTAGAGGAATTGACCATTATTCTGTGATAAGTACGATGTGTGAAACTTAAAAATGCACTGTCTGTTTTAACTAACTATTTGTTTTCTTTTACACTTTTCTTAGCTTTGCATTCACATCTTTCTGAAGGTACTGAAGGTAGTTTATACTTGCAATGATAATTATTTCTAAATTTTGTTACAGGTGTGAAAATTTATCTTAAAAAACTTGCATGGATGGACTTACTTTTGTAAGATCAAATATATGTTAGCTGGAAGACAATGAGCTCTTAAGGCTGCAAATATTCATAATTAAATTATTTTGGCTTGGTCAAGTATACCAAGGAAACATGTATCAGGTAAAGTACATCAATTTTTGTTTTTTCTGTGTAGCTTCTCTCTCTCTTAATTTGTAAAAATGATATTTCTGTAATCCAAAATTACAATTACTGCTCTTAAAAGGCAAACAAATTGTTTAATCATTTCCGGAAACATAGGAGGTTCTGACTAAATATTCATTCTACTGTATTTTCTGTCCACAGCTCTGTTCAGGTTGACCCATGCCATAGAATGTACTCGATCTATGTGGCTGCTGTGTGTAACTTTGTCGATAGTTGAAATGGTTTAGAAGACATGTATTTGCTATCGAGTGCACCATTGACTCTCAATGCGGGTGTGACTGGAGTCCGTTGCATTCCTTTTGCGAAGTCTTACTTGTTTAGAAAAGGATAAAGAATTTATTCACCTACATTGGTTTGCAATGGGAAATTTTGTATTAGTTCACTTACATATTTAGTGACAGCACTGCTGATTGAACTGCCTGTCTTCAGTTGAACTATTATTATCAATACTTTAATGAATTCGGATTGCACCTCATTATATTGAGTATGGGTTATGGGTGAATGTGCATGTGAATGTGCTATGTCAGTGTTCTTGGTTTGCTTTGTTTCACCATGTGGTGTGGGGTAGTGTTATCTCTTGGAACTAATACGAATTAGCATGGACATGAGTGCATACTGAATTCACAAGTTAAGTGAAAACTTAATTTAATTGGTGTTTTTCCGGTATACTTCTTAAATTGAACTTCTTCTTGGAACTAATTTGTAAAATTTTGAGAGTCAGAAAGAAGGACTCCACATGTTTTTATTTATGCAGTTGCACCAATCAAATTTGTAAGCTAAAATTAAGGCATCTGTACAAATAAAGTATTTGTTTTGAAGACATTAAAGTACAAACACAAGACAAAGGTTTGGGCAAATTTCAAGAGCTCAAGAAATTACATTGTCAAATGTCAAACCGAACACTACAAGTATTGTTTTATGTTCCTTTATAACATTTATCATATGTTCAATTTCAGCCTTCTCTGCATTTGGTTTTTGAGAGCCTATCATAGAAGTATGACAATTCTTCCTAATGTACCCAAACTGCTCTAGGATTCAATTTTTTTTTTTTTAAATTATTTGTTTGGCAAAGACACCTAAAGAGTGTAGCACGCTCAGCGTCAGCACAAAATTTGGTTTTCAATGGTGGATTAGCTGAGAATTCTTTTTGAGGCCTTTGCCCACACTTACTGTGACCAGTCTTGGAAGTCACAATCAGTGGAGAGTCTGGGAAATTAATGTTCGATCACATAAATTATGGAAGTCTTGTTTATTTGGAGTTTTCATCTACACTAAAAAAACTTAAGAAATTATTTTGAAAAATCAATTTAAAAAGGTCAGTAAAATCACCCATAGGCAATAAAGTCGACTCTGAATGTTGTTGGCACCCGGAAAGGAAAACTGGCAAAGTTAAAAATATCTTTTCTTCGTGGGTTCAAAAATATAATCCTCAATATTCCATTCATCATTTTCTAAACAAACCGGAACAATCTACGTTACTTTCAAACATACATATGTTAACTAGGACGTGACATGTCACTACGGCTGAGGCATTGCTAGCTGGCGCAATGTTTTTTTTAAAACATTCAGTTCAAATTTATCAATTAAATTTTCAATAACATCTGAATACATTCCACATTAGAATGGAAGTGGGCTGCCGCCCCATCGAGCCCCTCTTTTATTTTATATTTTCTTTACCAAAGTATTTGAATGCAATGGGGCTGCCGGCCCCCATGACAGCCCAAGTCCATGGACTACTATACTACTAATGTGTATCGTAATTCTCCTGGCTTGAAATTATTAGTATACTTACAGGAGCTGTTCTCAAGACCACCTAGAACACTTCAGGATGCAATGTAAAGTTTGGTCATTAGGAATACAACAATAAATAATAATACTTTCTCAAATACTGTGTTCTTTAATTTATTGTTCACACCTGCTGTCACCTTGGTGTACCATTTTATTTCTCTTTAATGTAGCTACCACAAAATGTTGATTTAGTTACCTGCAATATTTTGGCAGATTTTGTTAAAAGAATTGTATTAAATAAAATTCACTATTGAAAACACTGGTTCTTCATAATTGTAAGGCAATATCCTTTTGTCTTCTTCACGAACGCAATTCCGTTTCTAATTCCGTAATGGATATGAGAACTTTTACGTGAAAATGTTGTCATGTCTGGGGATTCCCCTCGTCTTTCCCCCCTTTCCCCTCTGCATTCCCTTTGTGTCGTGTGTATACTCCATTCGCTGAGGGACCTGTGAGGGGGAGAGGGGAACGTCCTCTGTGATTGGTGGAAGTGTTTTCGAGTTTTGCTGGAATTGTTCGACAAACCTCTAGTGGCCGGCTCACAAACTAATCCACCGGAAGTCAGACGCTGTCGAACAGTTTTTGCCGGGAACAGTTACAGTACACCCGTCCTGCCGCTGGGCTGTGCCAATTAGGATCAGACGCCACCACCACGATCGCAGCCCCTCCTCTAGTCCCCCTTTGCTCTCAGGCTACACACGCCGGACCCTCCCAAAACAGCCTAGCTCAAACACAGCGGCAAAAAACTTACTGCATAATTTTTGCCTTCTCTTACGTAAAATCGGATCGTAAAACAATATCGCAGCGCGCAAAATCGTTATTTGAATTGAATTTCCCGCGCGCGCCCATTCGCTTATCTCGCGCGCGTGTGGGCGGTGCCGGGCGCGCGGGGTCGTGCTCGCGGTGCCCCTCTAATGGGCCGGCCGGAGCGCCCCCGCTGCCCCCGCGCCGTGGAGGTCACGTCGCCAATCGCGGCGATCTGCACCGCACTTGCCGTCGTCGGCCTGCAGCGTGTCCGGCCTGCCCTGCCTGGGCGGGGCGTGGCTGGCCGGGCAGAGCGCAGCCATGCAACAGACCAACTACCCCGTCTCCCTCCCCTCCCCGGCCCCTCTTTCCCCTAACGCACCACTTGGCTGTTCGCATTGGATACAACTGCGTCCAGCGGGGTGAGCCACCACATCGCCTCCACTGCGATGAGTGGCGATGAGCACCTTTTGCAAACTGCTGTCCATGCCGATTGCAAATGTTTTGGAGAACGGCACCGCGCCTGGCTGACCCCGCGCGCCTCGCAGCAGTACAAGGAGAAAACAAAACGAGGCGGGCGCCGCCGCCACCGCTCGTACGAAACGCCTCCCCGGGGGCCTCGGCCGGCGGCGGACCATCGCAACGGGCTGCTCGGGGGGCGCCGAAGGCCAAAGGACTCGTCCCTTATGAAACGTTTTCGTCCTCGTGGCGGCGCCGCGGGCGCGCGCGCGCCTGTTTGGGCTGCTGGCCAGGCGCCCCCCAGCAGGAGGGTATACCGCGCGGGGCGGGCGCCAACTGGAACACACCGCCTGCCTCCTCCGCCATGCGGGGCCAGCGGACCGGCACCGCAACAAGCACTCGTTGCTCGTCAGGTACTCCGACAGGCACCCCGCCCGGACCGGGACACGGCCGCTATACGTGCGAGCGCGGTGCGGCGTGGCGGGGCGTGGCTGGGCGTGGCGAGCTTCCCGACCCCGGGGTTGGCGCGTTACCCGGTCGGTTACAGATCTAACGACACGGGTGTAATCGCGCTGCGGTGACGGGGCGTCCGGAGACACGACGGACACGACGCACCTGGCGCCACGCCCGCCGGCCTAGCCGCCCTGCTCAGAGGGGCACGCGGGGGACGCGGCCTCGCGCGCGACTCATGCGAGCGCAGCACCACGGGCCCCACACGCCATACGCAGCACGGCGTTGGACATCGCCGACGACCACCATTCATTTGGCACGGCACCGCCGCTGAGCTCCTCCACACCCTGCAACATCGCACCGCCCCGCCGGCCTACAAACGTCAAAACGATGCAACTCGCGGCCGCGACTAATCGCCCATTGTCCGGGCCGACGCCCGATTGGTCGGCAGAGGACGCGAAGCGTCGCGGCGGGAGGCGCGGCGGGGCATCGCCGCGGCCATGGGGTCTCACACCCGCACACTCGCACGAGACGTACGCAGAGTCAGTTCATTGCCTTACCGATGGCGGCTCGCAGGGCTGGCCCGGGTGTCGCGCGCGGTGGTAGGCGCCGTCCCGGCTCCAGTGGCACCGGCCGCGGCCGCCCGGACGCACCACGGCGCGCGCGGGGCGGTCCATGCGCACGGCTCACATGGCGGCGCGGCGAGCAACTGAGCGCGCGAGCAGAGCGGAGTATAGCGGCCACCAGACGGCGGCAGCAAAGCAGCGGACGGCGGCGCCGAGCAGGAGCAGCGGAGAGCTCAACGCAAGAGCGCGCAAATGGAGTACGAGTGGCGGAGTGGCCCGGCCCGGCGCGGGCTAGCGGGCTGCTGCACGGGCGTAACGCCACGGACAGCGTGGTACGGCGGCACGGCACGCCCGATCAGATATTGGAAACCGAACGGGGGAGGAAAATCGATCGCGCGGCGGGCACCGAGAGCGGGGCGGGGAGGAGGGAGTCGAGGCGGTGCAGCGCGGGGGCCAGGGCACTGGGGCAGGTGCGGCAGCTGCACCGGCTATTCTATGGGCAACCCGCCCGCACCCGTACGCATGCGGTACAGCCACCACAACATACCCTGACCGAACGCGGATGGTGTGAATTACAGACCTCTTGGGGCGCACAACATTACTGTCGCATCCTTGTGGTGAGACGAGAAAGTAAGGGTTGACGACGCATGACTCAGCTTCCTTATTGGCGACTTGCCCACGGAATATTTGATTTGCACGACTCATGACTTCGGAGGCCATAGAGTCTTGCGTGAGGACTTATTACTCAATGGCACAGACTTTTCAGACTATGTATCGGTTTAACATACGGTTTAGCATGTCTCTCTTAGGGGTCGATTGTTGAACAAACAGAAATGTTCTGAACACAAGTATTTTAGAGCTACAGTGAGAATATTGAACGCTTCAAATAGAGACAACACTATCTTGTTTTCATATTGTACGTGTACGATTGCTAAATTCGGTGCAAAACCTACTACACACGGTTTTGGCAAGAAGGTACAGAAGTGCATTGCTGAGAGAAAATCATCCTCAAAACTTACATCGCAATCCCAACAGTGTACTTAGTACACATAAGGAACAGTGCACTTTGCAATTGCAGTAGTACGTACACACATATAAGTGTTTTTTTTTTTTGCCACAGAACACACATAGAAGTAGCTACTTTACCTATAAGGTGACTTACACACAATTGGTAAGAACACACACACTTAGAGGTGTGTGATTCCAACAACAATTTACATGAAAAAGTACACTGTTGGTTTTGCAGTGTGGTGGAAACGATTTTTTTTTTTTTTTTTTTTGCTAAAAAACGGCAGATTACATTTTTACAAGTTTAGTAGTTAGTTGTCGAGGTGGTACTCACCGCTGACTGCGGGCGGGCCTTGCCCTGGATGAGCTGCGTCGTGGAGCCCATGGGGGTGCGGGGCTGACTCCAGCCGCCGGCCGCGCTGCCCGCGACGCTGCCCCCGGCGCCCGCGCTGCCGCCGCTGCTGCCGCCGCCCCGGTGACGGCCCAGGGTGAGCCCCGCGGCGCTGGCCCCGGCCCCGAGCGACGAGGAGGTGCCGGCCACGGACGTGCCGGCCACGGAGGAGCAGGCCGAGCCGTGCGCGTCGCTCAGGCTGAGCGCGTCCACGCCGTCGACCACCTCGGTACGGAGCCCGTCCACGACGACCACCGACGCCTCCTCCGCGAACGAGTGCAGTGCATCTGCGCCGCGGCGACCCTCGGCCGGCGCCGCCCTCGGTTGCGCCGCTTGCGCCGCGGGATGGTCGGCCGACGCCGCGAAGTTCGGAGCGTCGCCGCCAGACTGCAGCACCACCACGGTGGCGCCGACGCGCGACTCCGGGTTCCGCATCTCGCCGGCGGGCGCGCTAGCGAGCGGGGGGTGCCTCACGGCGCGGCGCCCCGGCGGCGCGACGGCGGACTTGCTCCTGGAGACGCCGGCGCCGAGGCCGGCGCCCAGCCTGCGGGCCGCGACGCTGTCCTGCGCCGTGCTGGCCGCACGCGCGACCACGCAGGGCTGTTTGGGCGTGGAGCTGGCGAAGGGCGTCGGGAACTCGGGTGAGGGCGCGGCCCGCGGCCCCGGCCGAGACGGCCTCGGTGTAGGGGCGGCGGCGGCGGCCCCGTCGTCCGACAGTCGGCGGAACACGCCCGGACCGTTGGAGTCGCCGAAGGCGTCCGCCTTGGACTTGTAGGAGAACGACAGCACGCGCAGCACCTGCAACAGAGACAAGAGACGTCAGGAAGAGAGTTAGAGAGTGGCGAGGGTTGCTTCACCCCTTACTAACAAATGTAAACACTCGAGAAGCACTAAAAAAAATACCCCGAAAAAAAAAAAGACAAATTAAGGACAAATCAATTTAAAAGGGAAAATCAGAAAAAAATCGAAAAAAATCAGGAAAATAACAAAGAATAAGGAAAACGCAAAATAATTGGTGCACGCTTAGCGCTTATATTGTTAGTGAAGTATCCTTAGTCCCCTAGGCGCCGCAGCCCACGGGGCGCGCGTGGCGGATGGGTTGCCTGCCCTCCAGGCGCGGCTCAGCGAGCGCCTTCCTCCCAGCCCCGACCTGAGGACACGTTGGGTTGCCTACTCTCACGGCGCTGAGGGACCGCCACGAGACGCCGCAGAGAGCGGGCGGCAGGCAGCGCGCAAAGGAGAGTCACGACAAACAACACGAAGGGAGGCGAATAGACTTGATGCTGCGAAGAGTTAAGGAAGGGCGCCGTTACCGACTGAATCACGGGCAGGAGAAGGTGGAGGAGAGGAGAAGGTGGAGGAGGAGGTGGAGAAGGTGGAGGAAAAGGTGGAGGATTGGCGGGGCGATGTTGGTTATCGCAGCCGCTCGCCAGCCCAACGCACTTCTTGGGGCAAGCCGCGCGCGTCACCGGCGCAGTTCCGTTTGCGTGTCGTCGGACTCGGGCGGGCAGAGATGCGCGCAGCATCCGCTCTGTCCGGACCGGAAGAGCAGAGCGTCACGAACACGGTGCACTCTAGACGGGGACCTGCTGTCCTCCCCTGCACTGCACCGCCTCCCTCTCGCGAGTCACTCTCGACCGGCCGCTCTCGTTACACACACGCGAGAGTCTCCCCCCAATCACTTCGACCTTGAGGTAATCGGGTGGCAGCGAGCTAATCACCTTGACCGAAAGGTGTGGTTTCGTCTTTCAGAATAATAATTGGGTGACGCGCAGGCAGAAGGGCAGGTCCGGGTAGGACGACGGGCAGTGCAGCCATCGGCGTCAAGCACCTGCAATGAGCCCTTCGAGCCCTAAATGGGAAGCGGGTCGTTACCGCCAAGCCGCCGCCGCGCCACGCCGCGCCGCGCCCACGACAGGATTTGGTCGATTTATTTTTTATTTCACTCCCGCAAACTAACGGCCTGCGAAGGGCACAAGTACCTTCGGGACGCGACCGCACGCCGCGCGCAGGCAACGCGACCTGCCCCTCGGCCCGGAACAGACGAGTTTTCCTCGAAGCTGGTGGACAGGACAGCCGGGCGCCGCAGCAAAAGAGCGAAATGGACAGCGATTTTTCGTGCCTCGTCTCCGTGCGGAGTGCGGAGTTGCTTCCCGCGCGGAGGACAACGATTGTCTGTCCGTGGGAACAAAACCAGAGGCTAAAGGGACTACAAAGCTTCAGGGGCCTCTGTAAACGCTTACTAAAACACACAAAAGCAAAGATAAAAATAGAATCCGCTTTCTTTCTGCGCTATCAGTGTTTAAATTAGTGATGCATCGTTTCAGCAGATACAGAAAGTCCTACACACTGCACCCAGGCGTCACTCTGGCCACGGTGTCAGGCTCCGGCCGGGTAGGCAACCTGTCCACGAGTGTGCATGCGAGACAGTATTCCTTTCAATAAAAGGTATCTAGGTCTTTCGGACACTTTGTCCCAGTCGATGAAGCGTTTAGATACTAAGCTGTACCTAGTGCTAACTAACATGGTCCCCGCGACAAAAATAACAACATAAGTCAACTCTACAAACATGAACCGAGCTGCGTGTGGGACCGTAGGCCTGGCGCACCAGACCTTGCAGGTAGGTTCCACACAGCAGGGTCATGGTTTTGGATGAGGTTGCGGCGTTGCGGCAGTCGTGTCTCATTTGCACCTTTCAATACCACCGCCGGATAAAGTGTTCCGAAATATATACGACTCACGTGTTAATGCGCGATTGCCCGATCGCAGCCGCCAGGGGGCGGGAAACGGACCAGGGACGACCGCCTGCGAATACTACTAACGCCGCGCCGGGTGGAGGCAGCCGGGGCGGGCGGCGCACTATCGTCACGATAAGCCAAATGTTTGCTTTGTTTACTCGCATACCTGCCTCGTGGCCCCGCGCCCGCGTTGCCCGCCTCCACCGGTACAACTACATCTGCGTCGCGCAGGAAAAGCCCCAGCCAGCCGCGGTATGGATCGCGAGGGGTCCTTCACTCAAAAAAATCAGCGTACACCCTCAGAAAAACATCACAAAAAAATCAGGAAAAATCAGAAAAAAAATTCAGAAAAAAAAATCAGGAAAAATCAAGAAAAATAGATAAATTGGTGTTCGCTAGAATTTATAGTGAAGGACGCCTCCACTGTAAAAAATATTTGTGGGAAAAATCCCACAAATGTATATGAAGTTATTTACATATACATGTATGGGATTTTTCCTACACTGCTGTACAGGGAAAATCCTATATGTGTGCTGCAGATTTCCTTGACATATGTGGGATTTTTCCTATACGAGTGTGTGGGAAAAATCCCATAAGAGTGCAGCAGATTTCCTTGACAGGTGTGGGATTTTTCCCATACGCATTTTTAAAAAGAAAAATGATATTTTTCGGGTTGAGGACTCGGATCCTACTCTTCCTGCACCCTCACTTCTCGTAATTCACATTTAAGTACACATTTCTAATTACCAAATACTTTACCGGACGGGGAGTTGAACCTCGGACTTCTGGGCTGCGATCCTGTCACGCTGACCACTAGACCACGGGGACTTGTTGGGAGAGAGGCCGTAGCGTCCCCGGGTGATCCCAAGGCTGCGCGGCCGGCCCCACCCGGCCGTTTTTAGAGGCCAGGTACGGGCAGCGGCCACCTGCCCTTTGCGTAAGGGATTTCTAGATGCATGTTTTGATTTCGGGTATTATATTTTAAACTCCGTGCCCTAATATTTTGATAAACTTCAGAAGCACCCTCCAAACATCATCCTTTGAGACCACAGCAGGACAACGAGACTGCTGAATAATTGTACCTAAGCTAAGCAGCAGGATTGATGTGTCCAAAAATCATGAACTGTAAATTTACTATTGCGTTGTCGGAAATTTTCAAGATAAAAATAGCAAAATTCCCACACTTGTATGTGAAAATTTCTTCCTAAACACTCGTAGGCATTTTGCCACAAAAGTGTGGGATTTTTCACATACGTATCGGTTTTTCCCTATACACTATTTCGTGTATAGGAAAAATCCTTCACATGTGTAGGAAATTTCACGTCCCACACGCGTATGGGATTTTTCCCACACACTTGTATGGCAAAAATCCGAACTTTTTTTACAGTGTCGGTATGGATCCCTTCGAGACGCACGGCGGCTGGGTGGCTGGGTGTCCTGGGGGATGTGCAGGTCCCCGTGATGGGCACGCGGCCGCGGCGGGGCCCCGGCCGAGAGACAAGACGACGACGACGTAACTGCTGCAATTTTCCTCACGAATAGTTTTCGGCTCCAGTCGAATCAAGAGCTGGTCTCGTCGTCTCGGCTCTCCGCTGCTGCCGCCCTCCTGGCCCGCGGCTCGTCCCGTCCCGTCCCGCGGAGAGGTCCTTGCTCTCGTAACGAAACGCAGAGCGCAGCGCGCGGGCCGCCGCCGCCACTCCACGCTTTTGTTTCCTCCTTTCGCCCATTTCTCCTCCTCATTTGCGCCAATAGTGAGCTGCAAAACTGACCTCATTTACGGCACCCGTTTCGTAAGAACGAAAACATCTCTAGAACCTGGAAGAACGATCAGAATGGGACCCGCGAGTGAACAAAAAATAGGGATGATCCCAGTATAACGTGTAAATGCATGATGAGTGTGCGATATAACAGAGGCAATATAAGAGGTCCAGATTTCACCTATCGCAAAGCTCCCCCAAATTACTACATAATCACGCACTTCCCGGTTATTATTGAATGAGACGTTTATCTATGAGAGGGGGGGGGGGGTAGATGATTCAATCGGACGCCACAGGTGCAGGCCAGTCACGCTGGCGTCACCATACCGCTGCTCAACGTGCCGTGATCATGCACGCCGTCGTCCACATCACTCCGGGCCGGGCGCCCCACCACCACCTAGCGATCCTCGGCGCCGCGCCGGGCGGGAAGACGTCGCAGCAGAAGTGAAGTCAGTATGTACTATTGAGATGTTCGCCCATTTTCTCCGCCGCTCCAATGGAGCAACAAACACGATGTAAGAGCCGGTAATGACCCGCAGAGTGGAGTACGTTCCGCGAGATTCCTCCTACTCCATTCCCCGCCGCCCCCCTCGCCCTGCTTGCTTTCCTCTCTCCCACCGTCGGATGGGGCGAACGATGAACCGAACCGCGCTGGCCGATCGTAGGTATCAGCGTGACTTTCTTGCGCGACATTTTCCCTCCAACGGCTAACGAAGTAAATGAGGTAAAAATAAAAATGAGGTAAAAATAAAAATGAGGTAAAAATAATAATTGCGGTGACATTACAAAGTGAGTGCGCTCGTGCTGCCGCCGTTCGGAACAGTCGCGCCGAGCTGCTGTGTACTGCTTTGCGATTCAGCCCGTGTGCTGGCCGAGCGCTGCCGAGCGCCGCGGCGCCCGCCCCAAAGGCCGCAGCCCGGCCAGGTGTGCGTGGGACGCGTTCAAGTTTATCACCCTCCTCCCCTCCGCCTCGCCGTGGTCACGACTGGTCAGTGCGCGCACCGCGCGGGGCGGGGCGCCGGTCACGCTGCTGCGGTCCCATCCAGCAGTCACGTTTCCGACGTCGTCGTGCTCGCAGCCGTGAGGAGCGAGGGTAAAGGCGAGGGGCGGGGGGCGACAGCTCGTCCAGTCGCGTCCGATGCACCTTGTTGCTCGATAAGGTTCCGGGGTTTCGAACCCCCGTGTCGCCGGACCCGGTCCAGCCCCGCCCCGACTCGCAGTAAGGCTCCCGGGGGGATCCACCCCCCCCCTCTCTTTCCGGACCAGGAGAAATGCAAAGCCTCTTACGTTTCTTCACAGGCTGTCCCCGGGTGTCGCCCTCGGACGGACGGACCTCGCCCGGGCTCGGCATTGTCTCGATTGTGTCCCATGCAGACTGACGTGCACTGACGTGGGAGCCGGTAACCAGGAGAGGCATAACCCCATGCAACATGCATAAGAGCAGTGGCGGGGGCGCGGGGCAAGGGGCGCGGGGGCGAACGTCTTCCTTCAGAGCCCGTCCAGCCCAGCAGCAGCTGCACCAGCTCGACAGCTCAAATGATAATCCCCCATGGGTCGGTTCCAGGCCGGCGCGCACAACGCGACTCCGTCCAGGCGTCGCGGCCGTCCTCCTGGAGATCTCCAGGGGGAAAGGAGAGGAGCGGGAGGACCATCGCGAATCCACCACCGCACGACGCGGCGCGGCCGTCAGCCCTGGAGCTGCTGGCCCGGCGGTGGTCCCTCCAGGAGGAGGAGGAGGAGGGCTCTCCAGAGGAGGCCGCCGTCAGAGCGGCTCGTCAAGTGTCGCAAGCCAAGAGAGGAAGCGCGCCGCATCACACGCCAGAGAGGGAGGAGCAGCGACAGCAGCCGCGGCCGGCGTCGTCCAGCGACAATCGACCAGAACTTTTCTCATCCTCGAGATGGAAAATGAAGGACAGCGACGGGCGCCCCGTGCATTAACAATGCATTTACGTCACTCCCGGTCACGACCGACCACGACGACGACGACTATTCAATTCCACGGGCAGCAGCAGCAGCAGCAGCAGGAAACGTAATAAAAAACACAAACACACGTCCATTACCACGGTGATTATCTCCCGGGGGGCATCGCGGCCGAAACGCTACTCAGCGCGCCAGCTAGAGAGAGAGAGAAAGAAAGAGAGAGCAGGGACAGATGGAGCGGTGGTGAGGCGGGGAGAGAGAGAGAGAGAGAGAGCACGTGAGAGGGGAAATGGAGAGGAAAAGTAAATGCCATGGATATTTTGAGAGCGCTTAGGAAGCCATGCATCACGGCTGGTCCGCACGGAGGAGCATGGGCTGCGGGAGGAGGAGGAGGAGGAGGTCGTTGTTCCCGCGACGCTTATGGCGGCGACCTTGGCGGGCGCGGGGAGAGTGGTGGTCGGGGAGAGCTCTCTCACCAGCGCGATGCGATGATGCACGCCGTTGGTCTTCGATCAACGGCGTCCGCCCCGACGACGACGACAGCTCGCCGATGAGGCTGTCTGCTCGGTCCCGCGGCCCAGTGTAACCACCACAGTCTGGACCGACGCAGACGGACAGCAGCAGCAGCAGCAGCAATCGGAATCATGACAATGAAATAACTTGCTCGCGGATAATGATTCAACTGTACGGGCGGCGCCACGGACTTTCACTGGGCCACACAAGCCACCCGAACGACGCCCGGACGACGGCCCAGCCCCAGCAGGTCCTGCTCGCTCCCCTGCCCGACCCGGCCCTGCGCGCCAACGGGATATCCTTCCCGTTTCCAGAGTCGCCCCATAGCTTCCCACGCTTAACGACGCACTCACACGTACTATGTGAGGTAACTCACACTCTCAGGGGGGGCCTTGGAACACTACCCGCTAATACAGTGGGCGCCTCCTCCTACCGCGGGGATCACATGGAAATGAGATGATGAGCGCCCCGTAACCGCGGGTACTTCTTATCTACGGCGCGAGCTCACGCAACGAGCCGTGCCCGTTAGGGCGTAAACGCGCGCAACAGCTAACTGGGGATGGGGACCGCCGCTGCACCGCTGGAATCTGTTCACGACCGGCAAGTATGGTGCCTAGGAGGAGGCGAAATGGCGGGAAAGGGTCATTATTTTTA